GATAAGTTTAAGTGTTCATGAGAAGGAAAACCTAAAAAAAGTTAAACTATTTTCTGCTACAGACTTGTTATTCATTAAAAATAAATATGTCAAGCAAATAAGGGCGAGTCAAACTAAAGTACTAAAAAAATTTAGGGAACAAATTAGACTCAAGGAATATAGGGTTCATATAGAACTTAATTAAATCTACAGCACAAATTTAATGTTTCAATAAAAGCCGTTAGACTAAATCAAAACACTACTAAGACAATTTTGAGTTTTGACACCCTTTTAACCATTTCATGCATGCATGAACCAGCTCGCTGTCACCCACTTGCTTATCTAGTCATTCGTTATGCATTCTTCATTCAAACAAAACTCCTCTGACATTTGCAAGCATGTTTACCCTCTATTTTGATGCAAAAACAGTAACTAGCTGTTCTCAATCAGGACTGCAATCTCCTAATCATAATTTTTTGTTAAATTAAGTGGTGGGAACATTTTTGAAAGCTAGATTACAAGAAAGAACAACAATATTTAAGTCGGACAAAGGAATCACACCAACCCGACATAATCAAACAAACTGCTAGAAATATCTGACTATTCTAAAATTCAAATGACTATGAAGGGCATGAGTGAGTTTATGCATTTTGTTTCTGCTCTTTGAGCTTAACCAACAAAATGGTCACTTCTCTTTGCACACAAAACCCAGTTTACTTATTTCCAGAAGAATGTTTTATAGCCAAACATGAAAACTCGTTGAATAAAACAGCATGAATTATTTGTTGATAAAATGAATAGATTAAATCCAGCCATTGCTTTGTGGTTTGACAAAATCATTGCATAATAACTAGAGTGAGTGTTAAAAGTAACATAATAGCACAGTGACAGCAGTGGAAACTTAGCAGTGACACTTAGCAGCAACAAGGAATCTTGTAATCTGTATATTAATTTTTGTATCTCTAGAATTAAGTATTTGTATCCCTAGAATTAAGGATAATGATAGACAATCCCTCAATCATAGGATCAGTTTTTAGGAAGATTTAGTTTCCCAGTTGAACCCCTAGTTAATTGTATATAAACTAAGGTTCTTGTATAATTCTTAATGAGTAATTTTTCAATAAACATTCAGTTTTTACTCTTAGATTTCCACAGTTTTATTTCTGAGTTTTCCACAGTAACAACAATGTTTCTGGTGGCATAAAAAGCCAGGCAGTGCCCATGATCAGCTTATGAAGGCAAGGGTACCATTAATTTTGGTAGCATTTGTCTTTGTTAGCTAAGGACTAATCACCTAGGCAAAATATGCTTTGATAGGACAACATAGTGCAAGTTCAAAAAGATATTCTCTTAATCCCCCCAAGTTGGAATGGAAATTATTTTCTGTAATAGAAATGCAATGCAAAACAATAGCATCAACTATAGTAGCTATATGAGAGAATAATTTTTTTCAGGCTTCAAGGATAAAATGTGGTAGTATCAGAGAAGAAAATTGCATAGATTAGTTAAATAACACAAGATCAGAAAGAAACAAAGAAAGAATAAAGCAAGCAACTGCATAGATTCAAAAACATACTCGATGATATCTCTGGAACAGCTCTGTGCGATTGACACAATTGCTTTTGCTGATCTATCAAATTTTGTGATTGAAGCCAGGAACTTGATTCTTGACCTGATGCTTGAAGCCTTGGCTGCATATTTTCTGGTAATTGATTGGGCTGCTGTTGCAAACCCAATTGTTGCTGCAGCTGAGTAGATTGTGATTGCATCTGAGACATCAGTTGCTGCTGCTGCTGAGGCTGCTGGGATGTCTGTCCTTGAGTTGTTAACAAATTAGGAGCACTCTGCTGTGTTTGTTGGAGCGGAACCTTAGGCTGCGGTAGCATGCATATAGATTGCTGATTAGTTTGCATGCTTGAGTTACCCAATTGGGTCCCAATCAATTGCTGCTGCTGCTGCTGCTGTTGCTGTAATCCTGAAATATTACTTTGAGGACCCAACTGTTGCTGATGGATATTTGAGAGGTTTTGTTGAGCCATTAACTGCTGCAGCTGCTGTTGCTGCAGGTTTGGAAGATTATTAGGCTGGCCTAGCAATCTCAGCTGCTGCATGTCCGCAATGCTGTTTTGTTGTCCAATTAACTGACTCTGCTGTATATTTGCAGCATTTGTCTGTTGTCCCATTATGTGTGGCCGCTGCTGCTGTTTCTGTGGCTGTGGAGGCTGTTGTTGCTGCTGAGGCATCATTGACTGCTGTGTCATTGCTGTTTGTTGTTGAAGAATACCAGCACTGGTGGCCGGTTGTGGCTGTTGCTGCTGTCTGAGGACTGACTGTTGATGCTGCTGAAGCATGGACTGTGTTGACTGTTGTAGAGAAGATTGTTGATTCCTTTGAAGACCAGTAAGAGGAGTTGATTGCATGGCAGATGGCTGCATAACGGATGATGTTTGCATACCAGATTGCTGGGAAGACTGCAACTGAGTAGATGGTAACAAGTTTTGCTGTTGCTGTAGCAGCATGTGAGACTGCATAAGTGAGGGCTGGAGATTTCCTTGTTGAATCTTTTGCTTCATAAGTTGCAGTAGTAACTGCTGCTGGTATAGTTGCTGCTGCTGCTGCTGTTGTGATAGCACCTGTTGCCTTCCTTGCATTTGCCTCTGCTGATTAGTAAAAATATTGGAAGACATCCCTTGCCCCAGTGAGTTCTGTGAAATTCCAGACAAGTTTTGCATGCTGGAATTCTGGCCAACAACATTAGGTATAGAATTCTGGGTTAGACCAGAGACAGAAGGCATTCCAGATTGTAAACCAGTAGAACTTTGAACTCCAACAGATGACATGTTATTTGGAACACTCTGGGGTAACAGTTGTTGACGTGCTTGAGACTGATTACTATGTAACAAGATAGGAATTGATTGCCCTTGAATGTGAACCTGGTTTTGCATGCCCCGAGAACCTACCCAAAATTTTTATATTCAGAAAGAAAAGTTGGGAAAAACCCACAAGATTTGAATTGAAGAACATTTAGAACAAGATAAACAACAAAAATACTGAAGCAGTAATTAATTCATTCAAAAAGATAACTACACTTAAAACAAGTTAAGGCAATTGAACCATACCATGAGGAACAAGAAAAAATAATAAAATTATTCCTAGGCCTAGCATATGAAGAGGTGCATGCCATGCTGAAGGACTTCAATCAAGGAAACAGCAAAGGGGGCTTTCTATTTGGGTGCTCATCAAATCTATCACTTAAACACCTCCACCCCACCAAAACAACCACACTTTGTTAAGGGGATAAAAGAGATAAAATATCGGTAATTTTCATTCGAAAAGCTGCAGAGAGAAAATGTGCATACATGTTGCAAGTTAAACAACTCTGCATGTAAAATAACAGAAACAACACGTAAATGGTAAGTATCCTACTTCTAGAATACATCAAAGGCAAAATGCTTTTTCCTGCTCTTACCTGGATCAGGTTGCTCGCTGTTTTTCCCAGTGTTGGTGGGCAAAGTATTCTGAGACTTGTTCTCCATAGTAAGCATCTTCAAGGATATTCTCCTTAGATAATCAGACTGAATACAGAAATCCATTACAGCATTAGAGTAAACAAGGTTTACTTTATTATTCAAATACAAGACAAGATTATCGAACATGTTACAGTAACCACCCTTAATATTGAGTTAGCATTTAGCATCTTTGTTTCCCTGGATTTCTTTCTTATTTACTTCCAATGTAATTGACAAGGAGTCTGGTTGTATGCATGTCTATGCATATGAATGGGAAAAAAAAGAAACACAAAGATACATTCACACAACGCAAACAAACAAAATACAGGAAAACAACAACGCAGCCAAGCAGGCTAAGGAATGCCAACATTCTATGATTAACTGGCTGCTTGCGGCCGTAAAAATCTTTTCCTCAAACCTTACTGCAATTTTCCTGAGTTCATATAAACCCTCTTGGCTAGAAAATGGAAGGTGCCTCTTCAATATGTCCATTCTACGTACACAAGGCATTGTGTAAGTTGTTGACACACCAATAGGATATATGTAAGCATCCTCTATGGTTAATAAAAGAATGGTATGGACCAAACTGTGAGGTTTAACATAAAATCAAATGAAAATTAACCAGGATATAATCTGACCACCAAAAGGTTTTTCCTCTTTAACTTGTTCAGGACTGTCTCATTTAAATATCCAGAAGCCACAGCATTGGAATTTAACAAAGTTCTCCCAAATAAACAAAGCGGCCATCATGACCTTCATGTATCAGCTATATTCAAATAGACCATGTACCAAAATTACCATTGTTTATAAAATGATGTAGAAAAGCAAGGCCACTAGTGTCTGTTACAGCTATAAGTTATTTAATGAATGGGTATAACTCAGTTAGTAAGAAGAAAAGAAAACCATCAATTCATATACAGTAGCACTCAAATAAGAAAACAAGTCCCAAGCTTACAAGAAGCAAAAGATTTAAAAGCAAAATTTATCCTCATTCAATCACATAAATTCATTAAATGACGATACCAAGTATGCCACACAGAATTGGACCCAATAGCTTAGCCACATCAGGCTTCCAGATACGTGGCCCATATATTTTGCCCAAACTCTGGGTAAGAGCAAGCTTTGATTCTCGAGCTATGCATTTACAAAACAAAGAAAGCGCCCAGGAATAGGAAATATGGTTTTATTGATGGTATTGTTTGGTTATTAACAATATTGAAAAACTATGAAAGACAATCCACAGAATATCAGTAACTTAAATACAACAAGTATATTTAACAAATAATAATACCACAAAATTCACTTACATCTTGTTAACAATTCTTTGTCGTGAATCAGGCTGCAACTGGGTTCTCCAATCACCTGCATCCATGGTGGGCTCTCCACTGGGAGGAGTAGGCCTCCAGTTATTGGTATCCATCGAATTCTTACAACACCAAAGGAGAAAAGAAAAGTCACAATCAATTCAGATCAAATTTTTTGTCATAAATTAAAGGAAGTGAAAAAGAAAAACTAGTTTGGACATAAATCGCTACTCAAATATGCAAAACATTTGGCAAAGTTCTTTTCAACAAACACCTCCCTTCTCTTGACACGAAATTCCTGGTAAAACACAGTTTTTGTAACCATAAATTTATGCATAAGAGCAGGATTTCATTTTTGTTAACGTTGTAAGATAAATTGGAAAGTATACATCATTTGCCGCACTCTTACAAAATGACAGGACATGTTACTAGACACTCACAGACACCCTACAACCATGACTTAAGTTGAACATGATAGTTTGCTATGTAAACCACAATTTTACAACTGGATGTCAATTTGGTTGATTTGATACTAATACTAGGTAACCCTTCTTCACAAGGCTTTTAAGATTCCGATTTTTCTCTCTGTCCTAGGCCATTGGTCATACGCCTGAGGAGGACTGTAACTCACTAAAACACCACTACTTTCACCACTAGACAAGCACATCACTGGAAAGCAATGCTAATACTCAACCAATTGCTATTTACTAAAGAATTAATTGTTAGTTGGCTTCTGAGAATGCTACCAAGGCTCACGGTTAAAAGGTTGAGCCTCCTAACCAAAAACAACTGCACTTGAAACTAGCTAAATATTTGACACTTTCCCAATGAAATCAGCCCCATAACTAGAACTTTATCATATATTATTAAATGAAAAAACAAAGAGAAAGAGAATCATAAATATTAACAAAATCTATGATTTAAACTATGTTTAATAGAAATAATCGGGTTTTGGGGGTTGCTTTCATTATTGGGTATCCAAATATTCTATCAATCTTTCTAATTTTTTTTCAAAGAAAAAAGATTAAAAAATATACAAAGTTAATTGCCTGTTGATATTAAATAAAAAAAATGAAATATTTTATTCTTACAGTCAAAAACATAATCCCAGGTAAGATTTTCGAGGAAATTAAGGCAACAGAACCGTAAAACCTATAAAAATTTGAAATTTTTACCTCAAAGAAGAGCTCCCAAGAGAGATCCGCTTCGAAAATTCCTCAAGGATTTTTTTTTCAAAAAACCAAATCCCAGATTGAATTAAACCCACGCCTCAGATTATCTTTGAGTATCAGAGAATAAATTATAAAATTTCTTTGTTGTTTCGTTTTGACAGAATTGGAAAAATACCCAATTCTCACGTATAAATAAACATTATTAGAAGAAAATAAAAGAAGGAAAATCAAATAGATTTAGTTGTTTGGTTGGAAAGAGAGTGAGAGAAAAGGAGGAGAAAGAAGAAACTTAGTAAGCAAGGAGAGAAAGAAAGTCAAAGTGTTGTACACAAGTGAATGGAAAAGAGACACGTCTACAAATAATGACCATTGCCAAAAAAAAAAAAAAGAAACCCTAAATTTGATTTTTTTTTTATCAATTTTTACTTTTATTGTTGTTTCTTCTTTATACTTTTGATTTTTTCTCTTTCAAATTTTATATTATATATATATATATATTGACATTATTTTTGCAATCATGTATTTTTATTTTCGAATTAACCACTTTTATGTTATAGTAAAAATAATTTAAGCAATAAGAGTTGGTTCCTTTACTTCAATAAAATTATTGATTTTGGATCGAGTCCTAATATTATTTCATTTGTAAATAAAATAATTTTTTTATCTTAAATTTATTTTTCAAAACAAAACATGTTATTATTGTTTTTATAAAAACTTGTAAAGTAAAAAGTGATCTTTTGATATTTTTATCTTTGATTTTTTTTTACAAAATTGATATAAAATCGAGGTTGTGATTTTTTCTAATTTGCCGACCAACTTATCGAAGAGTTGTAATTAGATATTTTTTTATTTTGTATTTAATATGGATGAAGTTATTATGTCATGTATCAAATACAAAATATATTTTTTATTTTTTAAAATTATATATTATTTTTATTAAAATTTTAAATTATATTATATTTGTTTTTTTTATAAATTTTATATCGTATCTATATATAGAATATAAAATTATTATAATTTTTTTATAATTTAATAGTTCTAGTTGCAATTCATTTATTTGTAATAATAAAGTATTAGTTGATCAATATATAACTTAACTAAATTATTTAATTTTCTTCCAAGACACAAATAACTCAAATTCCATTTAAGAAGAAATCAAATTCTTTTATCAAACATAATTAGTTAAATAAACAAGTAAGAAGAAAATCAATCTTAACCAATCAACATGTTATCAAGAAAAATACAATATAAAATGAAATAAATTATCAGTAGATAAAACTTGAATTTGATATATAATAATTATAAATCATCATTTTAAGATTAATAAATAAAATTTCTCTTGACAACAAATAATGAAATATTAGTTCAACGCTAATTTTAAAATTCAAATTTTCAAATTCAAATTTCAATAAATAAAATTAAATTCGTGCAAGGTTGTAAATTGATGATATTGAGTAATTTACAAATGATTTTATCAACTTTCATTTGATATATGTATTCACAAAATGTAAGACCATAAATGTTTCAATAAAAATTTCTTAAAATAGTGGGCTAAAATTACTTAAGCCATACTTTCACTTTTTCAAAAATGATTGTCGAAAGTCATCACTTAAAATCAAAGTTCTGGTAGTGTTTTAGTCAAAATAATTAGGTTAAAATTACGTGGTAAAGTTTGGAATTTAACAGAGCCAATCTTGTTCAAAAACCTACTATGTTTGATAAGCATGTAAACAAGTTCAAAAACCTTTAAATAAGCAAACACTTGTAAACAATTTCTCATAATAATATCATCAGTCAATAGTCATTGCTTGTTAGGAGAGAAATCCATACTATAACCAATGGCTCTTTCCTCCTTTATCCAAACGTTAAAAGCTTGAAATTTTGTTTGCTACTGCTCATACAGACACTATTATAATGAACCAAATTATTATAGCCAATATACCAAAAGCACTCATGTGGTATCTCATTTTCTCAACTCCAGTCATTCCAGTTTGTGGAAAGAAATTTCTTGGATGCAGACCACCCTTGTTCATGGCGGCCATATCCACACCGACTGCTGTGGCTGCCTCATCAACCATGGTGACAACAGATGCCTCCAATGATTTAAGTGACATGGGTTTTGCCTGAAACTTATAAAATAGTAATAGACCGACATCAATTCCAAAGCTAAAACAAACTATACTAGAAGATAAAATCAAAAAGAAAAAAAAAAAAAAAAGGATTTCAAGGTTTTTTTCCACTCTTTTACCACACTAACAACATATCAAGCCAAAGGAGAAAATTGAAAACAGAGCATGTGAAAATGAAAATTAATAACGCTTCGCTAACCATGGTAACTCCGGGATCATGGGGCTGTTCTGTAACCTTCGACTCGCCAAAATCAGTTGTTAAAGCATTACTGTGAGTATCATTAGCATTTTCGAACCCTGCAAGCAAATGTGATGTTGACATACCATTACCAGGTGTGTCAGGTGCAGGGCATTCAGATCTTGCTTGCTGCTGACTAATATTTTTGTTATTTGACAGAAAGGAAGCGCCATAAATGGATTTCTCAGAGTTCTCAGGCGTCGGATATGGACTCAACAGGGTTGAAGTAGGTGGGACAAATGGAGCCTCAAAGAGTAGGGGTGAAGATGTAAGAAACTGGGCACTAGGTTTTGAATGCTCATATGAATATCCTGGAAGTTGGCCAGTTGAGAGATTTGCTTGAAGAACCCCAGGATTAACACCTATTCCCTGTCTCATGTTCACGTCATTTATATCATCCGTTTGATGCAGCTGCTTTTGTTGCTGTTGCTGTAGTTGTTGCAGTAGCTGCGGCTTCTGCTGCATATATTGGTGCTGCATCTGGCACTGTTGAAACTGTTGTTTGTACATTTGTGACTGCAGCATTTGCTGTTCCAACTGTTGTTTTATATGCTGGTGCTGAAGTATGTTGGAATTTGACTGAAGAGGATTCATGTTTTGCGGCAGGACACTTAAGCCACTTTGTGGAGATAAAATGTTAATATTTGCGTGTTGGGAGGAACTCACAGGATTCTGTTGTAAAGGTCCTGCAGCAGCCAGCTGCATTGAGCCTAGGGCATTACGTTGTCCTGCATCCAAATTGGAACGGGGCTGCAGTGAATTTAACATGGTCTGCTGCTCTGTCGCAACCCCAGGTAAAGAAGGCAAAGAATTATGCTGTAAACTTGTCATGTTGTTTGCTTGTGTTGTAGGCACAGAACCTTGTAAATTTATTGACTGCAACTGAGGGTTCATTTGATTATCATGAGACTGAGTCTGATTAATTTGAGGTTGTGGCTGTGGCATGGAATGCATATGAGGCGGAGGAAGCTGTCCTTGCTGCAGTGCTGAGCCAGGCTGCCTTGGCCTATTGGCATTTATAAAATTTATTATATGCTTCTCATACAAACTCAACTTATCCTTGAAAGTGGGTACGATACTGGCTTTGGGAACTGATAAGAAAACTATAATCCGCTCCAATAAGATCTTGAATATTTTCAACTTCTCAAGCTGCTCTGACTTTGGCTGCTGTGCAAGAGAATCATGCTGGAAAATAGTACACAAAATTGTTTCAACTGATGCAAGTAAAACTACAAACCGCTATTACACCCGATACACATAAGTGCAACCACTAAACAGTGTCTACGGGAAGGGGATTCAAGCAGCAACCTGAAAGCGGTATGGGATCAAAAGCTTTCTAATGTGGAGTAGTGAAGTTCTCTCTAGATTCTATTTAGAGATACAGGGCGGGAGACAATGGTGCAGATGGGTTCTACCACTCCCCGGAGGTTAGGAAATGAATATATATGATTATGTAAAAGAATAAACCTACCTGCTTCATCTTGGCAACAATTTTCTGGTAAATCTCTTTTAATTCAGGTAAATATATCTCCTTCATGATCTTGATCTGCAACATAAAATCAGGAACAGAATTCTTAACCAACAATTAAACCACTCAATTTATCCAAGTGTCATGATTTATTAGAAAAGTAACAAGAATTTTCCATTTTCTAACTAGCAGGCACTGATTTTAGTTAATAACAAAAGAAACAAAGGTATCAATAAATGATTATCACTTTGAAGTCAAGCATGCAAGATACCCTTGGGCTTAGGTTTCTTGCTCACCAATTTTAATAGATCTTTAGTCAAGAGCTGAAGGATTTAAATAAGCTTTATTTTCTTTCGTCTAGGAATAAGCCAAAAGAATTCAAGTTCTTATTAACAAAGTAATAAGTAATTCAGAAAATGTCTGAATTTCTTTTACCAAATTTATTTTAAGTTCCTACTTCTTCAGTTTGATCGTTCCTGTTAAGAGACGCATCCCAACATACTCTAATATTTCAGAACCACTTTCCAACACCTAAAATCTTCTTAAAAACAAGTTGAAAGTGTAATATTATCTATAGGAGAAAAAGTCAAGATAGTGTTTACCTTCTGATAGACCTCTTCTTGCCAATCATCCCCATTTGCATGTCCTGTTTGAGCTGTGGAATCTAAAGATGCTATAAAAAGATAAATAAACCGTGCACACGTCAGAAAAAAGGAAATTTTTGGAGGAAGGAGAATAAGCGAAGAAAATTGTTCCATGCATACGAATACATGATTTTGTTGCATATATGTAAAACAATATCGAAATAGATAATTTGTGGAAGAAGGGTGTATTACGAGCAAAAAACAACCAACTCTGAAAGGAAAGCAAATTAATTTTGACTTTCCATTTTGACACAAAGACAAACTTCGAGTTCAAAGATCGTTTTTATTTTTCAAGGCTACTTATAGAATTTCTCAAGTTAAAAGCTTATTATACATTACCCGTCTATAACTAAGAAGTTCAGTTGGAATAGGAGTAAATGATAGATAAGCTTAAGTGATCAAAAGGAAGACCTAAAAATGATAGATATGGACTCAACAGGGTTGCAGTAGATGGGAGAAATGGAGCCTGAAAGAGTAGGGGTCAAGATGTAAGAAATTTGGCACTAGGTTTTGAATGCTCATATGAATAACCTGGAAGTTGGCCAGTTGGGAGATTTGCTTGAAGAACCCCAGGATTAACGCCTATTCCCTGTCTCATGTTCATGTCATTTATATCATCCATCTGATGCAGCTGCGGCAATTCATTTGTTTTTATCATTACAGGTGACTGCTGCTTAGCAAGCTGGTTCAAATATTGCTGCTGCAGTCGGTGCTGTTCCTGCATTTGGTGCAACAGCCTCTGCCGCTGCCTCTGTAGCTGCATCTGCAGCCGCTGCCTCTGTTGCATAACCATCTGCGGTGTTATTGGCTCAAAGCCTGGTGGCATCATTGACTGCAACGGAGGCATCTGCTGCTGCTGCAACTTTTTCTTAAGAAGAGCATGTTGCAATTGCTTTTGATAAAGCAACTGCTGTTGAAGAGCTTGTGGTTGCTGTTTGGCAAGCACCTCTTGCTGTCCTTGTATTTGACTAGATGAATTTGGAGAGATATCGGAAGGTTCATCTTGCCCAATTGATTTTCCAATTGAAATCAGTGAAATGTCAGATGTCTTCTGCTTGCTGGGATTCTCATCAACATTGGGGATGGGAATGTGGGTCAAACCAGATATTGACGGTAATGCAGATGGTAAACCAGCAGAACTTTCAACTCCAGAAGATACCGTGTCGTTTGGAATGTTTTGTTGAAACAGCTGTTTCCCTATTTGAAAATGACTTCCTGAGAATGGAAGAGGATGTGATAGCCCTCGACTATGAAAATGGGACTGCATGCTCTGGGAACTATCAGTAGAAGAAGAAGCAAAAGATGCAACGTGGGTACTAAATTTGGAGAACAAACATCCAGACAAATTATCAAACTGGAAAAGACATTAAAAAAGAAAAAAACCACCAATTCATTGATAAGCATTCAAACACCAAAGGCAAATCTGTTTTAATGTTAAAAATTAACTAATAATTTTTTGCCAATAACGGTTGGTGGAGTGCTGGACTCTTTGTTTAAGTGATGTTTCAAATCCTGGCAACCTCAATCATTAGAAACAAACTAATAATTATTTTTAGTGAAATTCCACTTCTATTTCATGTGCTTACCTAGATCAGGGAGCTCGCCAGATTTGACATCCATCGTAAGCATCTTCACAGATATTTTCCTTAGATAATCCGACTGAAATTAGAGATGAATAAGCAGTTTTCATTTGCTTAGTGAACAAAAGAAAAATAAAAACAAATAACCAAGTTGTGCTGTACAGAGAAACCAGATAAAAAGGCAAGCTTCTGGGAATGCAAATAAGATGCAGATTCAAGCAGATATGCTGCTACAATCAACAAAAATGTTCATCCATATAAATCATGGAATGCCATGACTTTTTGTGATTACCTGGCTATTTGCTGCAGTATAAATCTTTTCCCTCAAATCTGACAGCAACTTTCTGATTTGATTTAATCCCTCTTCCCCATGACATGGAATGTGTCCTTCAATGTATCCATTCTACAATATACAAAGGTAATGCATTAGTAAAGTTTAATGAACATGTTAAATTTTGACAATGGAAGTAGTAAAAGTAGACTTTACATCTTGTTCACAATTCTTTGTCTTGAATCACTCGGCAATTGGGTTCTCCAATCACCTGCCTCCATGGCAGGCTTTTCAACTTGCAGGTGTAAGCTCAAGTTACTGGTATTCTTTTAATGTCTAACAAAAAAAAAAGAAAAGAGAAAAAAAAACATAGTCACAAATACTTAATCGAATCAGATTTTCATAAAAAGTTTAAACCAAACTATAGTCACAAATGCTTAATCTGAATTTAATCCCTCTATTATTTCAATTTTAATCTATATAACTTTATTAAAAGTCGATTTAAGAGTAACTGATTTAAAATTTCATAGCTAAATTCGAACACAAAGATTTTTTATTGTGAAATTTTATAACTAATTTTACAATGTATTGAGTCTACATATGGACAATACATCAAGAGTTTATAGTTAATGTGCTGTTCATTCGATATATTATAATGAATCATGCAATATAAATTTTTTACAAGCTCTTAAAATAAATATATAAAAAATTGATTTTTTTTACTTTCTAATTAAATAGTTCACCGGTAGTATATGAAATTAATAGATGGATAGTGCATGAAATATAACCTTTAAAAAAAACTTTAACAAATTACCTCTTGGTCCGCTGTCTCTTGACAATATGCCCCCTTTTCGCTATCTGTAAAGTATATAGAGATGGCAAAAAATAAAAAGCTATGTATGTAAAACTGCAACAGACTAACTAATTAAAACTGGAAAAAATTGTTTCATTAAGAAAGCCGGGAACCATCAATATTGAAGGGGTAAGAAAAGAAGATGGTACAAAACTTGAGAAAATTACCTCTATAATCCATGATCTGAGCAGAAACTAGAAAGAATCTAAAACCAGGATTGTTTTTGAACTTGGGTTATAAACAAAAATTGAGACCAACAAAAAAAAAAAAAAACGAATGAAATGTGATCACAAGTTATCAGTTAAACTTGGTACAAACTTGCTTTCATCAATATCATGATCGTAATCAATTGTTTTGATGATGATGATAAGGAAGATGAAAATGAAAGGGATATATATGAAGAAGAAGAAGCTGCTGCTGAGTAGAAAGAAACAAAGAATTTGCTTAGGCCTTAGGTAATCATGTTTCAACTTTTGGTGCAATTCAATGGAATGGTGCTTTAAATTACTGCTCTATAGGTCGCTAGAAATTAAAAAGCATAGATGGAGCCGTCAGGTCGAGTTGGATTGTTGTCTTCTTTTTCCATTTTTCTATGCTTTGTTTCTTTTGTTTGTCTCTTGTTTCTCTTCTCCAAATTTATTTGTCATTGTTCAAATACTATGACTGATAATTTTCCTTATAATAAAATCAGACATTTGATTGCTATTTTAGGGGTGTTTGGTTTATGAAATATAAGAGTAAGAAAAATAAGGTTTTTTTTTTTAAATATTATAATTTAAAAATATAATTGAGTGAGAATAAAAAAAAGGTTTTTTTTTGTGAAATTTAAAAAAAAATCTCACAATGAGAGATTTTGATTCCTATATTTTTTTCTTTTTTTATTAATATTAAATTCTTAATACAGAAAAAATTTCCCAATCAAACTAAATAATCAAATTACTAAAAACATGATTTCCAATCAAAAATATTATTTTTTCCTAAATCAAACGTCCCCTTAAAATAAAAGTGATGATAACCGAAGTCAAGCCTCTAGAACTCATTTTTCAAAAGCAAGATCTGAGTTCAATCAATCTATTTCATAATTTTATTTTATATTAATATTTTAGATAAAATTAAATAAAAAAAAATTAATCGACAAGATTGGACTAATTCAAGATTAAAAAGCTATGCCTACACCAATAAGCAGGATCCATGGACGTAGGTGAAAAATCCCAATCTTTGGGACATCTTTATTAACTCATTATTAGTTAAAGGCCGTATAAATAAAAAAATTAAAGTCCAAATATTAATGATTTACAAGTTTTTGGGAAAGTTCGGATGAATTTTCTCATAATATGTCAAAAATAATATTTTTTACTATTGAAGATAAATTAATATCATAAAAATATATTAGAGGGAGTTATTGTAAATCTGTAATATTAACAATATAAGAAATATTAACAAGTTAGTAAAGTATTTAAAAAATAATTAAAATAAAAATTGGATAACACTTTCTCAGCTCATTTTTGGGTCTCGAAATTTACTGTTACTGAATGTTCGTCTGATTTTGCCTTGAAACTCCACGAGTTCGCTTGTAACTGGCCGCTGAGCGAACGATCCTAGGCATGGGAAAATTGAACTCTTTACCGCGGTGAAGGAGCCATCACCCTCTTTCTTTTCGCAGCAATACAAACAGTCGGAGAGGGCCGAGACCGACTCTCCATTAAAAAACATCTTGAAAGATATTCTTCGTAAGATAAATCTGACTGAAAATACAAATTATTACAACGTTAGATATATCAAAGTTTTTCTCAAAGCAACAAATTTAGTTAAAAAAAGGCTAACCAAATAATCTTTTGTTTCCTTCTTATATATAATTTTCTGTGCAATATGGTAACTTAATTAAAACTTATGACTACATGTGGTATGTTATGTTAATTCAGTTATTAAAGTAAATGTCAATTATTAAGATCTGATTTGGATGCATAACGAGAGAGCTCTCATTGCGTCAGGATTATGCTTTAATTATGACAGGACCCTTAATGATCTAATTAAAGAGTGAATGTTAAATGTGAATTTCTTATATTTGAAGAGTTGAACTTTTATAATCTCGTCCGTGTCTAATACAATGCAAGCAATTTATGAAAATAAATAATCGAAGCAAGATAAAGCTTATGTGCCTGCACATACTATAGAAATGCCAGCCATTTTGGGATCATTACCCCGTGCTAGTTAGCCATAGCACAATCCTTTCCTCGAACCTTACAGCCATCATCGCTGAGTTCATTTAATCCCTCTTGGCTTGGAAACGGGCAGGTACCGTTTTAGTGTTCCACTCCTAACGAATGCAAGGCCATTAATTAGTAAGTATTCTATGTTATTGGGAGCAAGGGGCAATGTAGTGAGAGGGACTCCCCCATACCCAACCGCACTGGGCCCTTCAACTTTTCGATGAAACACCCCTGCACTGCCTGCCACCAGCTCTCAAAATAGGCACTTAGCCATGAAATTATAGTAACATAACACAAATCATAGCGATGGAAATTTAGTGCAAATATTCCATCAGCCTCAAAATACTGGAATATCGATCATTAGTGGAGATGGAGGGACAAGATTTCTAAATACCATGCCAAATAATTGCCTTGCTAAGTTTGTGACTTCCATTGCTACACTACCCCCTCTTTTCTTTCAATCCAAAAATTACATGGTAAAAGGCTATACGTGAATTTAAATTTCCAAAAATTGGTGCAAATATTATTGAACAATAAATTATGTTATTATATAGAAAGAAATTCATACATCTTGGAGACAATTCGTTGTCGTGACTCAGGCTGCAGCTGCATCTGCCACGGTTCTCTCAGATCACCTGAAACTGTGGTAGCCCCTTCACTATTAAATTGGGACTGCGTGCCTCGGGAACCTATCCAGTAGAAGAAAAGACAAAACATGGGGACAAAATTTGCAGAACAAACAGGAAAAGACATTAAAAAAAAAGCCACCAATTCATTGAATATAGGCATTCAAAACACTAAAGGCACCAACCAAATCCGTATTAAAGACATACAGAGATGTTAGTAACACATTCATGGAAGAAAAGAATGTAAGGGTATTTCTCATTTGGTCACCATTAGAATATATATCACTCCTTTAACTCACCTCTCTACCAGCAGAAATTATGCACCTGGTTTTAATTAATACCTAAGGGACAGTGAAATTCCATTTCTGATGCATGTAAAAGGCAAAATTTGTTAACTATCAGCAGGAAAAAAAAGCACAAATTTTTGTTTCGTATGATTACCTGGATCACGGAGATTGCTACAATTGCCAGAATTGTTTGCAGTGTTCTGAGACTTGACCTCCATCGTAAGCATCTTCAAAGATATTCTCCTTAGATAATCCGACTAAAATTAGTGATGAATAATTAGTTTTCACTTGCTTAGTAAATAAAAGAAACAAAAATAATCAAGTTGTACTGGCCTTTATATGGAGAAAACCAACACTTTTTCCTCTTTTTATATTTCATTTGCTTTACTTGCAAGCTTATAGAAGATTCATAAATCCGTGTATTTATATTTGTTTATTTTGTGTTTATACTTATAAAACACAAAAATTACTACATGTATCAACGTTTCAAACACAAAACATGTATCCGTGTTTAAAATTGACGAATCCAACTTCTAGGAATGCAAATAAAGTGCATATTTAATCAGATTTGCTTTCAAATCATGGAAAGCCATATTTTTATGATTACCTGGCTACTTGCTGTAGTATAAGTCTTTTCTTCAAATCTGACAGCAATTTTTCTGAGTTGATTTAACCCTCTTCCCCACCAAATGAAAGGTGCTTCTTAAAAGTATCCACTCTACAATTCGAAAACGCATTGCATTAGTAAACTTAATGAACATATTAAAATATTGACTATGAAGATTGCTAAAATATACTTTACATCTTGTTCACAATTCTTTGTCGGGAATCACTCTGCAATTGGGTTCTCCAGTCACCTGTCTCCATGGCTGGCCTTTCCCTTGCAAGCGTAGACTTCAAGTTATTGGTATTGGTTAATGTCGAACAAAAAAAAAAAAACCTAAAATATAGTCACAGATAATCAAATCATCAGACTTTTATAAAAGTTAGATCTTAATTACTCTAATATTAAAAGAGTAATTGTTGATTGTACCCAAAGAATCAAGAGTAATTGTTGGGAAACGATTAAGATTGGAAAGATCTATCTTTGTAGTTAATCCGAATTATTGAAGAGTGGCTCTTCACTTTCTCGCCTATGGAATAGGGTTTTTGGCTGGAGCTTATGGAGTGATTGAGTCCCAAAGGTTAATAACTCGTACACCTAGCATTAGGAGGGTAAAATTGCCTTTTTACTTTTTTTAAGGGGTTGCTGGTAAGTAATCACCTAGAATTCTATTTCTAATAATATATTTCTATATAATAAAAAAGGTTATATTTGATATAATGTCTTAGTGAATCAAATATTTTATATTATTAATAAATCAAATAATATTATATTATTAATTAATAAATATTAATTTTTAAATATATATATAAAAATTAATAATTTTTAAAAAATATACAACATCATATGATTCATTTTATTAATGAAATGTTATTATCCGAACTCATTGATAATATTCCCATAAAAAGCCAAATAAATGCAGTGAAAAACATAAAACACCTTAAAAGCAAGGAGAAAGAAAATAGAAGCAAGTAACAGACCGATAAAAGCGCAGCATAATCCAACGGAAAACCGCAAGCAACCACAACAATGGATAAGACGAAAAAGTAAGATGAGGTAAGGAT